GATCATTTGGAACAAAAGCTGTTTTAAAGACTAGGTTACAAACCACAGTTAGTAGTTCTGCAGTTTCACATTTGAGTTTCTTCAGAACTCTTGAGTGAATGCCATCTGGTCCTAGTGACCGATTACTGTATAGTATATCAATTAGTTCCAAGCTCTCCTCTAATGACACCTCAATTTGGGACAGTTCCTTAGATGGTCACTTAGGAGGAATGGCTCGGGTTTGGGAATTTCTCACTTCCTCAGTCATGAAGACCAACGCAAATAATTCATTTAGTTTCTCCGCAGTAGCCTTAAGAGGTACCCAAAGAATTGGTCTCTGCCTTATATATAAACCAGAATGTTTGCCTTGCTTCCTTTTGGGTGAGGGGAGGATGTAGCGCTTTAGATAACTGATTAAAAGTACAATTGTGAATGCTTTCCCCATATCTCTTAAACACAAAAGCGTAAATTTAAACATAATCATACTCTCCAAACAAAGCTCTATAGCATTGTTTTTTTAAACTTAAACTTTCAAAAATTGATTTATTTTTTTTTAGTTAAGAGCCTTTGAACATGCTCGGTTTATTTGTATTTTGGTGTAACAATAGTGTTTTAAGCTTCATGGGGTAAGAAACTTGTCACTATGCTATCTCTTTGGAATGTTTTGAGAGAGTGTTTCATGGTTGTCTACAACAGTACAGGGTGTCTTCAGGGAAAAGAAGTTACAACCCTGCCAAGTGCCATGTACTTGAACCTCTTTGGTGATAGTCTTAAAAAATGACATTAAATATTTAAGAACAAGGCATGCCATCCAAAAGCCAGAACTAGCTCAAAAGGCAAGAAACTAAAGGCAAACGCAGCAGGATACATTAAATGCAAATTATATTGCATGCAAGTTTTCTGTCAGGCACTTGATAATGAAGACAAGGCGATGTTAACATATGCTGAGGTCTTTGGTGATAAAGAAGATTATGGAAGGTAGGATGTGAGGTTTAATTTGGAATTTCATTCTTTAAAAGCAAACAAAAAAACCAGTCTGATAGCAGCCACTGCAAGTCAACATGCTGTGAGAGTGTGTGTGTATTTTTTTTGAAAACCAATAAAAGCTTTTGCATTGTTTGAGAGCTCATCAAACACAAACTAGCTGCATGCTAGAACTAGTGGTTCTGCAGGTGAATAATGTGCACCTCTTTCCTGTCATGGACCTCTGTAAGGCCTTGTCTGTACTAGAAAGTGCACCGATGTGGATTGAAGAAATCAATCTAGTTAAACCTCTGCAACCCTCTCCTGTAGACGTACTTAAATCTGTTTATCCCTTTAGTGATATCGCTTCAGCACACTAAAGTGATATAAAAGAGTTAAGCCAGTTCTAGTGCACCTCCAATAAGGGTTTGCACAGCTTTAACTAGATCAAGGTTTTTAAATCAGTTTTGTTAAACCAGTGTTTTTCCAGAATCGTCAAGGACAAAGTCTTTGTCAATTAGGGACGGGAATGGTTAACCAGTAAGCATTACCCTTAGCAGGTGATGCTTACCAGTTACCGTTAACTGGTGGTGGCTGAAGTAGCCCTCCACTGGCTACCAGCAGGAGACTGCTCCAGCCCTATAGGGCCCACCACAAACGGGGGGGTGGAGGGACTCCAGCCCCCATCTACAGTGGGCCCAGCCTGACTGCTGCGGGCAGGAGCGCTTCAGCCCCCCCCACCTGCCTCCATTTAATCAGTTAACTGGTTAAGCTTAGCGTTTAACCAGTTAACTAATTAAATGGGATTTTATAACCCTATTGTCAATTGCTTCTAGTTCAGAGCAAGGTAGAACATTCCTTTGTAAAAATACCTGGCTTTTTTTTTTTCCTTAGTTGAGTCTGAGGGTAAATGTTTAGCTGAAAGCTCATCTATGTTTCAATGTCCCCTTTAGCATCTTGAAAACTTGCATCCTATCCCCTCTCCACCGTCATTTCACCAGTGAGTACAACCCCGCATTTTCCATGCTATCGGTGTAAATTTAACCCATCTAGTCCTGGTGTCACATCTGCCGCTGTGCTCTTCAGAACTCTTGTAGTCCAAGGCCCTTCTAGAGTAAGGCGTCTAAAATTAGATACAGTAAACACACATATAAGCAGAGCGATTGTGATGATAAAATGTGGGCTTAGCGTTGCACTGTGCGCTTTTCTGTCCCAGTTTAATTTGCTGTTTTGGTCCCTGCCGTGTTGTCCCATCCTCATTCTATCTGTGATTGCTCGCAAGCTGTTGCCTTTCGTGATTAATTTTTTTTGTTCATGACTTCAAGTTCTCTAAATTGAAACTCTTGAGCCTCCTTTGTTACGCGTACTAACCTGTGTAGATCTTTCTGAACTCTAGCTCCTTCATCTACATTATTTCATTTTTTGGTGTGTCTGGCCATTCAGTGCAAACTTGGACACTATCTTGGATCCCTCACAATGCTGAAAATTGGAAATATTAACCCTCCTAGCAATCCCTGTACTTGTCACTTCTTCCATAGACAATAACCATACAATTACAAAGCGCCCCAGTCACCCAATCACTTTTTTCCCTATGTTTTATATTAGAATCTGCTTCTGTTTAATGCCACACTTGTTAACGTGCGCTCATCTGCCCAAAATAGTTTACAAAATTGGTTGTCCCTGACTTCACCCCTGTGTGGGCACAGTATAAACTCCAAAAGCTTCCTACAGGTTGGTTTTGTAATTAAAAAAAAATTAAAATGCTATTTATTGTAGTGAAACCCCTTCTAGTACACAGTTCTAGCCTAGGCCAATTTGTGTGTCCCAGCTATAAACTCTTTACAAACTAGATCATCTCAAAAGCCAGGTCTACACTAGACCTGGGAGTTCAAGTTAAGGTAGGCAACTCCAGCTATGTAGTCTATGTAGCAGTGGTTCTCAACTGGTGGTCCACGGTGACTTTTTCGGTGGTCCACAGGAACATTGTCCAAAGTCACACGGCGTGAGCAGGAGCCACTGTTACGCTGTTTTACGCCGTGTTCACAAGCACGTGGTGCGTCATCCACCACAAAAAGGAGATGGTCCACAAACATTTTTTGATTAGGCTGGTGGTCTGTGGACTGAAATGAGTTGAGAACCACTGACTGGAGTCAGCTTAACTTAAGCCACACTTGGCAGCGTCCCCACAGTGGGAGGCTAATGGGAGCCCCTTACTCCTCGCAAAAGGAGGACTTCTGGAGGGGGCACCCTCTGAGTTTGAATTAGTGAGTCTTAACTAGACTTGCTAAATCGAGCTCCGTAATATCAATCACTACAGCGGCGATCTTCCTTGTAGCGAAGACAAACCCTAAGATGCCACAGGACTCCTTGTTGTTTTTGCAAATACAGGCTAACACGGCAGCCTCTCTGAGACTTCACAAAGTAGGTTTATAATGGAAATGCTGAGAACTCTTTTTTTTAGAGTAGTTGAATTCGACCCGGCCTTTCATGCAGATGCTGCTTGTCTCTCAACAACCCTGAGACGATATACATATTGTGGCAGTTGTATTTCTCTAACCAGAAGTTTACCGCTTCATTTTTCCACTTAGCAACTGCATAAAGTTGTTTGACATTTCCCACCCCAAAATAATTTCCCTGCAAGATAGATGTTGGTGAACCATCTGAAGAGTCCTTGCTCCTAGAACACTTTCTGAATATTGTCACAGCTGCATTTGTGTGGTGTTGGTACTAATAGCTAGAAAAATGTGATTTTTGATACTCTGCATGCTCTGTGATGACTGTGGCTTTTGTTTGCTTTGCTTGGCTGGCTGAGGTGGTGGTGTTTTGCTTTAATATCTGTGCATGCATTAAAAATCTTTGATATCAGGGTGAAGTGTCCTACTTGCCTTCTTTCTCTAGGCCTTGCTTCCGGAGCAGCGAGCAGTGCATGCAGATTCCTACAGGAGGATTGGGCATCTCTGAAAGTGTGGCTGCTAATGATCTCATTCCTTACCATGCTAAACTTACTTACACTCAAACTGGCATAAGCGGAGAAACTTGAGGATCAAATAATTCTGTGCTTTAAAAAAATCTAAGCCTCTCCAGTATTATATTTTTCCTATTTATTGGCATAGAACCTATTTTGTGAAGAAATTTCACAAGCTGTCCTTCTCCGTTTATCAGTCCCTTTTATTTATGTTATTTAAATTGTTGATTTGTTCCATGTGGAAAGAAATACACTATTTTTCTCAAATGGTTGTAACTATTTTTATGGAAAGGTACTAATTTTTATATATGATATTTGAAGAAAATCTGGGTTATTTATACTGAGTTTTATACAAGATGTATAAACTTTTTAACAGGGAAAGATGACGCTTTTTGATGTACCTGAGAAATAAAACATTTTAAATATAATGGTGCGTCTTTTGTCTTACTGCTGTATCATACGCTTCTTGCTCACTGCACTATTTTAGCTTTTTTGAACAAAAACTTTTGGCCAAAATATTTATTTTACTAGTCTCTGATACTGTGGATGGTAACCATCGCGTACTAGAATAACATGGCCCCGCATTCTGTCCTCGAGTTGGAGTTCCACATACGTTTTTAGCAGGAATTGCATGTGTACGTTTGTTGAAGGAATTGGGCCTCAAGCGTCGACTTACTGTCCAGTATTGGGTTTGAAAGCTGGGACAACAAAGTAGTAAACAGCTGTAAAGTAGTAAATCTGTACATGTCTGAAATCCATCTTTAAATCACAGTTATTAATGTTCCCATGTTTCCCAGCAATTACTGTTTTTAAGCTAGATTTCAACATTATTTTAACATATGAATAAAAATTTACAGCTTTATAGCCTGGCTCTTTTCTCCTAGGAGTACAAGCTGTGTAAAACTTTTTAACAAAACTCTGTCTTAACTCACTGAGGTTCGCATCTTTTCAATTAACCTGATCTGCTCTGAATCCCTTTCCTCTCTTCCCATAACTTCAAGAAAAGGCTTCATGGGTTCGTATACTAATCTGATTAAACTTAGTTTCAACTGGTGTTCTCAAAATAATTTGAACCCCTAACTCAGGGATTACAGACCAGAACAAAAAAAAATCTGAGGTTTGTAAGTGTAATACAGATATATTTGAGAGATAAGTTGGATGAGGTAATATATTTTATTGGGTCAATTTATGTTGATGAACAAGAGAAGTTTTCAGGCTCCACAGAGCCCACCTTCAGGAAGCTCTCGAGCTCAGAAGCATGTCTCTTTCAGCAATGGAAGTTGATCCAGTAAAAGATATTACCTCTCCACCTTGCTTCTCTCACATCTTAGGACCAAAGCAGCTGTTACGACACTGCGTACACTTGTGCTTGTTTAATTATTAACTTCATGCACCAACACCCAAATAAAAATATTCATGACCCATGTTTTAGAGAATCCCGCTAAACTTGAAAAAAGATAGATGAAAATGTATTGGCTAGAACTTGTTTTGGCAAATTCTGCTTAGTGTTAGATGTTTATATTAAATCCTTCTGGAAATCCATCCAATCCATCGACATTATACACTGTAGTCTACATGACTCATGTAATTCTGAAATACTGCTTTTTAACTATATATAAAACTCCTTCTATTGAGAACCTTTTGCAGCTTTTCAGGTAAAATGTAATTCTAATTGCAATCCCCTCCGTAATGGAATCTATTTTATAGAATTTTTAAATAAATAAGCAACTATTCTCCTCTAGAAAAAATACATCTGTCCCCAGCCTCCCATTAATTAGTATGTAGGAAAGTGGCTTGCGTACAAGCCCTTTGAGTGTTCAATATTTTATCGAAGTGACTCTTAGCTAACTCCCACTCAGATGTTTTTAAAATATAGGTAGAAGCTGGCATTTAAACTAACACTGCTTGTTTCCTTTCTTATGACTGCCAATTACCAAAATTTCTCCAAATACCTTTCCTTGTAATCTGCTGTCTCCTCTTCGCAACTTTTCCAGTAAAATTGCAATGAACAGTCTGATTTCTGCAGGCGCTCTTATGGAGTAAATTATTCAGTATCAGCTGGCTCGTGAGTCACCTTACTGAAAAAAGCTGGCAGAAGTGGACTGATTACTAACATTTCTAAAGAGCCAGAAGCCTGTAATCCACAGCTATAATAAAGGAAGGAAACAACCTTCCAACCTTTGCTGAGACAGTAGCAAATCCCACCATTTATTTTTAAGGACCGATGGTTGTGGAGATTATTTGACATTAAAGAGAAACTGTTAAACTTTATGCCCTAAACTAAAGTTGCAATTTACTAAAAATATTTTACAAAATAAAAATAGTGTTCCCCTTGCTCTCATGAACACAACAGAACATTGTCTAGGAGCATGACAACCGAAAGGGAGAACTTAGGTCTGACTTTCATTGCCAGTCTGAGTGGAAAAACCAAAAGCAAATAAAGCAAACTAGATTTGTTAAATTTAATAATCTAAGGTATTGCTAATAACTGTAAAACTTACTTTAAGGTTGACCGTGACCCGTTAAAGTGCATAAATATTTGCCTACATGAACCGCATAAGGGATATAAGGCCATCTTTTAAAGCAGATTATTGGCTACCAAGTCTGGCGCCTAGCCAGATGTCACCCGAGAGGAGACAACTAGCAAGTGATATGTCTTTGTGACTTAACTCTCACCAAACTGTTCACCTTTTAGGGGAGCCATGCTCAGCTGCTAAAGATGATGGAAGAACGTATGATGGATGTTGAGCAGAAACTGAAGCTTGTGAAGAGGCTTCTCCAAGATAAAGTGAACCAACTGAAAGAACAAGTAAGCCCTACCACCCCTTTCATGGGATCCTGCATACCCTGTATACACAACATAAGTGAGCAAAGTACCCCCGACTGGCCTTTTGTTCCCAGCAGATTGTAAAAGCTCTTTATGTCCTTAATCTTAGAGCAGTGTTTCATAAACTGTGTTCCAGGGGCAGGTGACTTTTTTTTCCCCCTCAACAAAAAATCATTGGTGTTCCTCATTTTAAAAAAAATATTGTTTGGTGTTCCTCGGTCTTAAAAAGTTTAAGAAACACTGTCTTAGAGCATAGTTGACTAGAGTCTGGGTTGAGCATCCCTGGTTTAATACTTCACTGGGAGTTCTGGGTCTTGTTCAGTGCCTTCCACAATTTAAAACTGAGAAATAGACCTCTCCAACTCGAGAGGAGGATCCTAACTGCTGACTAGTCATATGAGGGGAAAGAGAGAGAACAAAGTATTTTTACACTTTGCGGATGTTCCCTCCAAGGATTTATAGCACATAGTAGGGGGGAAACTTACCAGCCACACTGCATATTCTTTGTTCCTGTTTACCTTTATTCGGATACAAGCGATTTCTGAATTTCCTAAATGTTCATCTTTTTCCCTGCTGGAAAAAGTAAAAATGCCCATGAATTCCAGTGAGCTTTTTTACTAGTCTTACTTAATATAATAGCAGTCAAGTTTATTTTACTGTTCAGGGCTGAAAAGTGTACAAAGAAGATTTTATATGAGCTACAATAGATAACTGGCTAATGCAGTGCATGTAGCATGGATGTGTGCTTACCTTTCCTTTCCACTTCACAAACGTTGTGTACCTTTCAAAGCACATAGGTGTTCATGCTGAGTGAAAACCCATCCCAAAACCAAAATTGTAAGTCTTGTATATGATTTACTGAACTTATATTACTTCTACATTGTCAGACAATTTACATCTTGGAGACATACTATTAAATCTGATTACTTGAAGGGAAATTGAAAATACTTTCCTTAGAGAACAGTCAACAAATTTGTTAAAGAATGCAGTTTTTGTTGGCATATTAGATTTAAGCAGCTGAGTCAGTTTTTTGTCTCCTATTTCCCTGATAATGACAGACTCTATCTGCTCGGACAACTACTTTTAATTATAGTCCGATAGAGGCAGCTTCAATATACAAGGAGATGAACTGCATCATAAACCCAACAAAGCTTCCAAAGACTCAAAATGCAAATGGCTAGAGGAGTCAGAACTAAGTTGTCCCCTTCCTCAGGAGACAAGGTGGTCTCTGGGTTCACTTTAATTTAATTTTAATTTAATTTGTACTAATCTTTTGAGAGGAACAGGGACCAGTAGACCTCTCCAAGAGTGACAGAGAGGACTTTCTTGAGCAGTGAGTGAGTGGAGGGAAGATAAAATTTGCCTGTCGGCCCCCACAAAGATTTGAGATGTCTGGTATCTTTGGCCAGAAGAGAATCCGTAGCAGGCCAAGCGAGTTGTCCAGGTGAAAAAGAGATTTGGGACAATCGTGCTGTGGAAGGCCTAGGCAGAAGGAATTATCGTCCGTGGTGAGCTCCTCCCTGGAGTTCTGGTGTCACGGTTACAGCTGAATTCCCCTGTAAAGTGGGAGGCCAATAGATTTTACTCACCCGCCCCATGAGGGAAATGCAGTATTGACAGACTGGGTCCCGCTGCCATTTCCATGACCTGTATCAGCCACAAAAGGCCTGTTCTCAAAAGGCAGAATATCAGGCTTATGGTGCACTTCATCTTCTCGTACAGGAGAAACCGGTGTTCCAGAACTTTCTGTCAGAGCTATACCTGAGACCTAGTGGGTATGCCTGATTGTAGTCCTCTCCCATCCTGGGCTGAGTGGTTCTTGTGTGTATGAGAATTTACCCAGCCTTGAGGAAGTGGGGGAAGGATTCTACAAACTCTTGCATGCACTACCTATCTGCAAGGCTTTGCAGATCTTGACTCGTAGACCCATAATATCTGTCTCGTATCTGATCAGCACAAGCTCTTTCCACCTTCAAGATACTAGTAGTGCCCATAAATACCAGGAAATGTTTCATTTGTGCTGCATGAAAATATTCAACTTGGGATATTGGTTTACTGTGAATGATTTTATGTAATCGTGCCTGCATGCATGGAGGAGAGTGCTCACTTTAAATTGAAGCAACAGCTTACTAAAGACAGCACTGCTTTCACTTGGGTGTCTTCAGACATAAGGAGCTGGGAGTAACTTTTATGTATATATATATTTAGCTCTCCAAGAACACTAAAGCAGATGAAATGGTTAAGGATCTCTATGTTGAGAACGCACAATTGCTGAAAGCTCTGGAGATGACAGAACAGCGACAAAAAACTGCTGAGAAGAAAAACTACTTCTTAGAAGAGAAGATTGCCAACCTCAGTAAAATAGTAAAGAACCTGGCATCGCCATCTTTGAATTCCACACCTCAACTAAGGTCATAGCAAAGCCATACGGATAGTCAACAGCTCTCTTGCACTTTACTGAAATGTTAAGATTTCAACTTCTCTCCGTGCTGCCTTTTTGTATTATACATGTTAGTTAATCGAGATCTCAAAATAGTCTCAGAGGAGCAGCCGTGTTAGTCTGTAACTTTAAAAACAACGCGTAATCTTGTGGCACCTTAGAGACTAACAAAAAAAATATATATCATCCTGAGCTTCGGTGGGCAAAACCCACATCTTCAGATGAGATGGTTTAAAGTTAAGACCGAAACTGAAAACTGCCAACAAACTCCTGGTCTTACATTCCTAAACCACCTTCCTGCCCAGTTTAAAACTACCCTATTCAGGGTTGTAGAAAAGACACAAATCTGTGATTCTATGTAAATTTAACTTGTGAGCCAGGTTTTGTTTTTAAATATAAACTCTCAATGTATTGTGAATTCATTTGGTAACTCGCATCTAGATTGAAATCTAGGTACAAGGGGAACCTTTGCAAATTAGGTCTCAGACTTTTGAAACATTCTAAGCTTATGTCTAATACTTGAAAGCCTACACTCCACATATCATCTGTGTCATCTTTAGATGTCATTGTCAGAATAATCATTATTAGGAAACAGACTTCATCTCTGTTATGCTACAGACAGATTTTGTACTTTCCTTAAAGCAGGGTGCTCCAACTGAGGCAGTAGGCTTCTAGCGCATTTGATCAAGGACAATTTCTTGTTCAGCTTCCCTAGTGGTGATTAAAACTTGGTAAATAGATTGTGCTGCCACCTAACTAAACCTAACAGGAGACGTGTCCCCTGTGGTGAGTGTGGCCATGACTCTCATAGCTCCTTTACAAATACATTAGGTGCCTTAAATTCTCTCCCAGTGGAAGTAAGCTAGATAAAACAGAGGCACGATCGCCAAAAAAGTGCTATGGCTTCTACTTGAACGTGGGTTTTTTTTACTGGACAAAGCACTGAATATACTTGCGGAATAATCTTGCATTGGCAGGAGAATGGAGAAGACGACCTAGATAAACTCTTGTCTGTAATATCTGTGACACAGATTCTGCAATGGGGTCTCCTAACATGGACCTCCAGTAGCCCTACCTAATTCTGTTTGGCATCAGTGAAACTCTGTACAGACAGGTCTCTGCTTGTGGATCCTGCTACAGGATCGGAGTGTTTGATTGTAAGGAGTTACATTTGAGGTCACCTCAGCAACTCAGGGAATGATAGCATGAAATAGCTTCTTGCACTACTGCAAATATGGAACTTAATGTCTGTATATGAAGATAACCACTCTTTCAAACTTTAAGAAAATTTGTTTATGAAAAGCATGATGAACCAAACTGTTATCTAATATGACCAGATAAAAATAGACTGCAGGCAACATGATTTTTAAAGTGTCCACAAGGATTTAGTACTGGTGAGAGGGGCCAGTTTGGCAGCAGTAGTGGGATTCAGAGGAAAGGTTAAAAAGTTCAAACTGTATGTATTCCAACTATTGTCTCTGAGACTGCCAACTAGGTGCCAGTTATGGTAGCATTTGGACTTGCCACTGATCACTAGGAACTGAAATGAGACTGCCAATTTACTTGCCACTAGCCAGCCTGCAGAGAATGACTTTCAGTTTATACTAAGTTAGCCAGGTGGAGCACTGTCAAGGCTGTTATGCCTACTACTGGGCGTATGGAGGGATTGGGGAATAGAAACATGGTTTGACCCTTCCTTGGACTGCCAGTCTGCTCAATTCCTTTATGCAGGCAGTATTGTGACTGTTACAAGAATTCCAGAGAGATTGTTTTCTTCCTGTGTACGGGAATGGAGCATAAGGTCACAACGGAGAGCAAATAATCACCATGAATGCATGTCTGACCATAGAAAACTCCGTACTGTTTTCCTGTTGAAAGGATGCAATGAATATACAGGGTTTATTTAAAAACAAAAATCAGCTTGCAGTGTTTACCTTGAAGGTATTTTGAATATACCCTTTCAAAGTTTTTTTTGGTTAGTTATGTTAAATTACATAACTACACGGTGTATAATTACACAGTGGCACAGACCACTGTAGGACCTACAAAAAGCAAGAAAACCTTAATTAGAAATTGCTTTAACAACTGTACTGATATATCTATTTCTGCTTTCAATCTTCCGTTTGGGTAAATGACAACACAGTCTCTAGGGCTTGCGTATATCATGTTTTCATTGACTGCAGAAGCAATGTTTTACCATCACAAATTACACTGAAATAAAGTGAGGTTCCCTTTTTAAATTCCAAGGACTGTATATATTTGGCTTCGGCTAATATTGACCAAATAGCTGGGTAAATCACCCATATAATAAAGTTTTGATATATGGGCAGTTGGACTAAAATGTGTGATGACGATAAGGAAATTGAGCACACCTCTCTAAGACCATCTCTGGCTCAGAAAAATAAGCACTATTTTGAAAATGGCAGAGTAGTCACAATTCACCTGGCTATAGTTATCCTAGAGAAAGGTGTTCGCCGGCACTTTTTAATGTAATTTATTTTCCTAGACTAGACATGGCCTAATATTTACATACATGGCAAACGGAGAGATTTGAATATGGAAGTAGCAATTGTCCTTAAACTGCTGAGTAATTAAATAAAACTTCATAGGGAAGATTTTTGTAAAAGGATAGACTGCTAACGCAAATTTTGACTTTCTGGCTCTTATTTTCTATTGGATTTTTAAAAAAAGTTAATTGGAACTTTCTAGAACATAATGTCAGAAAGGTAGAGGTAGGATAAGTTTGCAGGGATAGTGGAGAGGCATAAGTGTACTGAGATTGAGAAATAAGGGGGGGAGAAACCAATCCGCCCTTCCTTTCATGGATTTAGTTTCAAATGCTAATCCCATTACTGAGAAGAGTTAAGAAGTGGGGCGCAAGAAGGGAGTTCAACCTCCCTTGTTCAGGCAAAACTGAAGGTGACATCATTTGAGATCTGGGTGAACAAAAAGTGCTCAGAAGTGCCCTTTGAAACGGAACCTGCCAGCAGCGGCTTAGAGCATCTGCTAGAAGGGCTTGCTTGAGAAACCACTCAGCGTACTTCCTCCTCAGCCGGCCTACAGGGGTGAAATTGAGGATCTGAACTCCGATGCCTTATCTTAGTGAAATGTTTGTCCGATTACTTGCATACGCTTCCTTGCATAGTGTGCATTTGAGCCATGAAATATTAGGCATGTATAGTCCCCAATGCTTGAAAATAAAGGTTGAAGCTTGTTTACACCCTATAGGCCTTCTAAGTATGCCAGTCTTCAACAGCAAACTAATATAAGATCAACTAAACGTGAAGTACTGGGCCTACAGTCAAAACAATGGCTACGTCTAGACTGGCCCCTATTACGGAATAGGGATGCAAAGCAGGCAAGTCAGAATAGGGAAATCCGCAGGGGATTTAAATATCCCCCGCGGGATTTAAATAAACATGGCCGCCGCTTTTTTTCCGGCTTGGGGAAAAGCCGGAAAAGAGCGTCTAGACTGTAGGAATAAGAGATCCTCCGGAAAAGGGCTTTATTCCGGAGTATCGCGCCAGTCTAGACGCTCTTTTCCGGCTTTTCCCCAAGCCGGAAAAAAGCAGCAGCCATGGTTATTCCATAATAGGGGCCAGTCTAGACGTAGCCAATGGGTCTTGCCAATTCAAAGATGATGCTACAATGTTTCAAAAAATACTATCAATTCTTTCCTACACCATACTATGTGAATCGCTGTGAAAATGAGAAGTTTTGGGGTTGTGAGGTTTTTTGGGTGGGGAATTGTATATGAATTCATTCCAAACAACTTGAGGGATTGTGTTATATCTGCACAGTTAAAGAGTGGTGTGTCTGTTTGCATTGGTAAAAGGATAAAAGGTTAATTTAGCACCCTTTCCTCACTCAGTTGCAGCTGAATTTCAATTCAGAGAGGGAATTTTTTTATTTTTGTCTGAGCAAAAAGATTGCAACCCAACTGACATTTGCCATGTATGGATGTTGTATAAAATGGTTTAAGGGAACAGTTTGCGTTGGTAAATCTAAAGCAAAGGACATCATTGTCACAACTGCATTCTGTTACTTTGCTGCCGTTCAGAATAGCTTCTGTTCCCACTAAATGTCAAATGCTGTAATTAGTGATAATTAACGTATGTAAAGATGAAGACCAGTGGGTGTATTTTTATTATATCATAGAACTGGAAAAAAATTCAAGAGGTCAAGTCCAGTTCCCTATAATATACAGGTAGAACTTCTCTAGTCTGGCATACTTGGGACCTGACCAGTGCTGAACCAGAGAATTTGCCAGACCACAGGAGGTCAGTATTGTCTACCTGCATTATCAACACACCCTCTGCTTACTGGGCTCTTAGAAGACATTCAGGGGTAAATTAGAGCTAAAGAACAGCACCGAACACTGAGCGCCAGGCCTGGTGGCTGTAAATAAACTTTATGGGACCATGGGAAACTTCACCCCATAAGTGGACATCGGGCTAACTAAAATGATGCTGGACCACAGATGTTGCAGGACCAGAGTTCCAGACTAGAGAGGTTCCACGTGTACTGTATTACATCAGTTGTCTTTATACCATCATGTAAAACAGAAAGACAAACCAAAATGGTTTATATGGACATTAAAAATATAAATTACTGTACTCATTACTTGCTTTTGGTTTTTTCTTGCATGAAAATGAGTATTTTGTCGTGGAGACCAATTGCACTATTCACTTGTAATTCATATGCATTTACTAATCCAAGCTAAATTTTAAACTGAATAAAATAGTAATAAACTGACAGGTTTGCAATTAATGATAAAAACATTATGAATTTTCCATTATGGAAAAAGATACACCAATTTAGGGAGCAAAAAGTGAATTAATAATGAACCTACCTCGAAATATTTTTACTTCTAGCCTGTTTTCATTCTCCATTGTTTTCCCTCTTAATCATTGTTACAGGTCTAAATACTCTTATTGAAAGACTAATCTTTAATCCATAATTAGATTGCATTGCTATAGAGAAAAATGTTTAAATAGATTTTAGGATTAAATTTCCCTCATGTTTTGTTTGTGTATATGTAACCCACCCACCTACTGGGTGTGGTTCACTGTCACATGTAGTGGCACTTAAACCACTTAAAGAAAGAGAACAATGATTCTTCTCTACAACCTTAGCTGCGCCAACTGGCTTTCAGCTCAAGCGGTAGAGCAGGGCTGGGGAACCTCAGGCCCGGGGGCTGGATGTGGCTCCCGGCTTGCCAGGAGCTGGCCCCCGAGGCTCAGGGTCTCCCCCAGCATTGGGGAGCCTGCACTGGTACTCCAGCTCCTCTGTTGTTCCACCGCAGGGCTGGAGCACACAAAATCTACTAGGCTGGTCCGTCCCCCACCCAGGCTCTGGTGTGTGAGGGGAACATGAGGAGTCTCTCTCCTCAGTCGGGGCCACGTTTGTTTGTGTTGAGGTTTTTTTTTGCTTCTCACTTGTGTGCGGCCCCCAACTCATTTTTCTGTGGGTCAGTGGCCCCCGACCCAAAAAAGGTTCCCCACCCCTGCAGTAGAGGCTTATGCACTAAGCTCCTGAGGTCCCAGATATGGCATATAACTTCAAATATGCTTTTCTGTTGGTAATAAATTAGAGAATGCTCACTAATTTGCACTGCTGAAGGGTTGGTTTCTCTGCCATTTTTGATGCTAGTGTGCTGCAACCTCTGCCTATAATACGGACCAGATCTTGTCTCTGTTCCTTGTGCTTTCCTGGCAGTATCCATTTGTTGTCCCTTGTCTTCCACTTCGATTGTAATCTCCTTGGGGCAGGGAGTGATAGTTGTGTGCATGTCCAGCACCAAGCACAATGGAGTCCTCGTTGCTGCAGTGATAAAAACGTGCAGTTTACACACCTCCACTAGCTTTGCAACGTGCTCATCCATTATCCTACTGGCTCTTTCTTTTCAGTCAGGGCAAGTGTTCACGTGAGACACCTGCTAGGCAACTGGCCCACCAGGAATCTAACACAGGCTGGAGAATGAGAACAGGCCTGTGGGGGTAAAGTTCACCTTCTGAGGGAGTTTGTTGCAACCCCTTTCAGAATAGAAGGTGACCAGCCCTTCAAAGGGAACAAAAGATGGGTGGCCCAAGACCAAGGGTGGGGAACCTAAGGCCCAGGGACTGGATGCAGCCCCTAACTTGCCTGAATCCAGCCCCTGAGACCTGGGGATCTTTCCTAGCATTGGGGAGCCCACGCTGGCACTCCAGCCTCCCCACTGTTCCCCCTTGGGGCTGGAGCACACAATCTACTATCCTGCCCTTCCCCCCCCCCAGGCTCTGAGGTGTGAGGGGAATGTGGGGAGTGTCTTTCTCCTCCTCAGCTGAGGGCCACATCAGTGAGGGTTTGAGTTATTTGCTTCTCACTTGTGTGCAGCCCCCAACTGATTTTTTTTCTGTAGATTAGTGGCCCCCCTCTCCCCTACAAATCTTCTTCCTAGGCCCAGCTCTTAGGCCTTATGCCTGGCCAACACCATAAGGGGGGGGGTGATCTGACATACAATGTATATCCTGTGTGTTCCCTTCCTGCGTCCTCCTGCCCTTGGGCCTCATCTTGGGTGTGTCTACACAGCAAAGTTATTTCGGAATAACGGCCGTTATTCTGAAATAACTATGTGAGCATCTACACAGCAATTCCGTTATTTTGAAAAAATGGACGGTTTATTCTGACTTCCGTAAACCTCATTCTACGAAGAATAATGCCTATTTCAAAAGAAGGTGTGTGTAGACGCGCCTCTCCTGCTATTTCGAAATAGCCCCTCACCAGGGCCCTTCTAAGTTATTCTTCCTGAGGCTGTAAAGTGAGAGAGGCTTCCCTAATGTTGACGTGCGTAAATTGAGAGAGGCTTCCCTAATGTTGACGTCTTCTAAGTTATTCTTCCTGAGGCTGTAAAGTGAGAGAGGCTTCCCTAATGTTGACGTGCTATCTCGGACTACTTTTGAGGCTTCCCTGCAGTCTAGACAAGCTATTTCAAAATAAGCTATTTCAGAATAACTATTCCGAATAGCTTATTCTGAAATAACTGTGCAGTGTAGACGTAGCCTTTAGGTTCGTTCTTGTCCCCTTATGTCTTCCAGTCTCTTTCTCCTGCCCCGTCACTCTTGTCTGTTCTCATTCTTGGCCCTTCATGTCCCCTCGTCTTTTCCCCCTCCTAACCCTTTTCTGGGCCTTTTCTAGGCCTCTTGTGTCTTCCAGCCTAACGTGGACCTGTTCCTGCCCTCTTTTGCCTCCCAGCCGCCTTCATGTCTCCCTGGACTGAACCCATTTCTGCTCCCATCTTGTGTCCTGGTCTCTTCTCCTCCCTGCCCCACCCCAGCTTTCATGAGCGGCTAGGCCTGCCCACCAACCTCAATTGTCCCAGGGAGGCCCCTTATGGCTGGGGATAGCCCTGACTGCTGGCTGAAATGAAGGGGGCTGCCTTGGCCTTAGACCTGTCCTGCCCGTTTTAAGGTGGCTGGCCTTCTGAACTCTGCAGGGTGTCATTTCAGATTCTGGTAGGAGATGGCAACTTTAACTGCGATTCCAGGGGCTACTTGGGCATATGAAAGTGACAGATTTTTTTTTTTTTTTTGTAGACTAACTTAAAAAGTAGCTGACAGGACCACTACCTCTAATTCCAATGTAAAGAAAAAATGTTTCATATTGGACCCATTCAGGTCTAATAGTAACATGGTCTGACATCATGTGTCATGTCACTTGAGAGACACTGGTTAGGCTTAAAATTGTAAAGTGTACTCTTACTTTTGTATACAACAATTGTAGAAAAATCTAGATTCCCTAACCAACTAGGAGCTTTTGAAAATTGCTGCTTGGGCAATCCTGTGTCCATGAGTAGCCCAAATTCCTGCCGCCTCCTTTCCCCTGCCCAGGACAGGTGATGTGTCCATGGCTCCCTACAGCTTCCAGCCCGTGACAGTGCATTGGAGCATGGCCCGGCTGGTCAGAACCACTCAGGTAACTGGGAAGCCACAGACCATCCACCTGCCTTGAGTGATGGGGGTGAGGCGATGGGCTGCTCTTGGGCATAGTGTTGCCAACTTCCTAAGGACACGAACCTTAGCACACCTTTGTCCTGCTCTGGCCCCATCCTCTTAATCCATCCCCCTGCCCCTCCCTCACTGGGGCAGCAGGTGGGAATGTGGGAGGGGGTGAGAGCTGAGGGTGTGGGATCCCAGGCCAGGGGTGAGGGAGTGGAGCTGCAGGAGAGGGCTAGTGCCGGGGGAGGGGCTTGGGGTGCACGGTTGTGTGGGCTCTGGGGAGGGGGGTGCAGGTTGGGACAGGGCAGTGGGGCACGGGAGGGAGTGCGGGGTCAGGGCAGTGCTCACATGAAGCGGTGCTATTGGCCCGGGAGCCTGCGTGCCCGGCCTGC